TAATGCCTCAGCATCCTGACAGGACACAGAAGGTGCCGCCGCTCCTCCTCGGGGGAGGCATGCGGTGGCGGATAGAAAGCCCTAATCCTGATGACTCTCGACCTAAAGGCCGACGTGATGACCTTGGGGAGAAAGGCCGGATTGGGCCACAATTCCACCATGCCGTCGCCCTCTCCAAAGGACAGGCAAGACGCATGGACAGAGAGCGCACACAAGTCGCCCGCCCTCTTAGCAGACGCCAACGCCAGCAAGAGGGCCGTCTTAAAAGCGACACACTCGGGACTCGTCTCCGCCGCCGGTTCAAAAGGCGGACCCGACAGCCCCCAAAGGACCACCCTGAGGTCCCAAACCGGGGGCGTTCTCTGGAGCGGGGGCCTCCTCCTGCGCGCCCCCCGCAGAAAACGTTTAACCAACGGATGAGAGCGGGCTGTGAACCCCCCGAATCCGTCGTGACCCGAGGTAATGGCTGCCGCGAACACCGCCAAGGTGGCGACAGCCCTCCCTTTGTCAATAAGCTCCTGTAGGAATCCCAGGACCCCCTCCAGCGGGCAACGCCTGGGATCCCAGGAACGAGAACCGCACCAGTCGCTGAAGAGCCTCCACCTCGTGGCGTAGGCCCTCACAGTGGACGGCGCCCTCGCCCCCTGAATGGTCTCCACCACCGCAGGGGGGAGACCCAGGTCTACGAGGTTCTGCCTCTCAGCCTCCAAACCCAGAGCCTGCGGCCGATTATTGGGCGTGAAAACAGGGCTCCCCCCCCTGGACTAGAGCCCCCGGCTCGTCCGGGAGGGCCCAGGGCTCCATCACCGCCATGCCCCTCAGGAAGGGGAACCACCGGGCATGCGGACTGTCCGGAGCCACCAGGATCACCGACCTCCTCTCCTGTTCGATCCTCTGCAGCAGGACCGGCAGGAGACGCACTGGTGGGAAAGCGTACAGCAGGCCCTCTGGCCAGGGGTAATGAGCCAGAGCGTCCACGCCTAAGGGCGGCTCGTCCGCGGCCCTTAAGGCGAACCAGGACGGGCACTGTGCGTTTTCTGCACTGGCGAAAAGGTCGACCACTGGACGGCCGAACCTCCGCCAGATCTCCGCAGCTACCCGTGGGGCCAGGCCCCACTCGTCCTGGAGTGGGCCCCCCTGGACATCCTGTCGGCCCCCACGTTCCGGACCCCCGGGACGTGGCGCGCACTGAGAGACAGGAGGTGAAGCGCCGCCCACAGCAGCGTCACCGTCGCCATGCGATGGAGAGCGGGGGACCTGGTGCCCCCCTGCCTGTTCAGATAGGAGACCACTGTGGTGTTGTCTGAGCGCACCATCACGTGTCTCCCCTGCAGCTGAGGAGCAAAGTGCAGCAGTACCCTGTGCACTGCCTCCATCTCCAGCAGGTTGATGTGACGGGCTGAGTCCGACCAGCAGCCTCCTACAGAGCTCTGGCCGAGGACCCCGCCCCATCCTTCGAGTGACGCGTCCGTGAACACCTCCACGTGAGACACGGCGCAGGCCAGAGTCACTCCGTCCCGCAATAGACCCGGAGTGAGCCAGAACCTGATGTCCGATGCTGCCACTTGGGGAACCCAGATCAGCCTCCCCCCGTCCCGGGAGGGGTGAAGCCTGAGGCGTGAGAACCACCTCTGAAAATTCCTCATGTGGAGAAGGCCTAGCCGCACCACAGCATGAGCCGCCGCAATCATTCCCAGCAGGGACCTGAGGCGCCGAGCGGGGACTCTGGGGCCCGCCAGAACCTCCCTGGCCAGACGGGTAATGTTCATCCATCTGTCCACGGACAATGCAGCACGGAATGTTACAGAGTCTAGCTGCAGGCCGAGATAAATCATGCGCTGAGCTGGCTGCAGCCTGCTTTTCTCCCTGTTTACCACAAAGCCCAGACGCTGTATGTGGGACAGGACCCAGTGCGTGTGGCTCACGGCCACTTCCCTGGATGAGGCCTCTTCTCCGCCTCCCTGATGTTAGCTAGCCCAAGCCAAAGGTGCCTGGCCCCGACTTGAGCTGCTGCCATGGAGCGGCCGCCATCGACAGCTAGCGCCTGGCACATGCGCAGGATCGCCGCTGAGGTGGTCCTCGCCTGTGATAAGGTGTCTCCACTGAGCGCCTGGCCAGAAGAGAGCAACCTATCCAGGGCCCCCGTGATGAAGGCCATGTTATTTGCCACAGCGACGACCTGTGCCGCATTGGCGTAACATCTGTCCAGCATAGCCAAAGACGTCCTGTCCCGCTCGGAGGGAAGGAGAGGTCTGGTGCCGGGCCACACGGATGCGGAGGGGTGCAGGTCCTGCACGCTGCAATACATGCCGTAGCCCAAAGCGGGCCTCTTGGCCGCTAGGGGCTTTGGCCACTCACGTGTCGCGTAATGGACGATCGGGTCCATCCGCGGGCACAACGTGGGCTGTATCCTCCTCCTCCCTCGAGTGGTGGCGTAACCAGAGGTGAAGTCCTCCGCCCTCTGGGTCGGCTGCGGTGGCAGGGGGGCATCCATGATGGCCTCCGCGGAGGAGTAGAGCCCAGGCATGTGGTCCAGTGGGAAGCGGTCCGGCTCCGGGTTCGACACCACCTCGTCCAGCGTGAGGAGGGAGCCGACCTCCGAAACCTCTCTGTCCTCACAGTCACCCCACTCCGCGGGCACGGGTGGAAGGTCGAGTGGGGCCCAGTCAGTCTCAGACTCCTCGTCCTGAGAGGAGTCCGGACAGGGCGCTGCAGCGGCGAGGTACGCACGCCTGCGTTCGCTCTCCTCCCTGGGGAGAGCGAGACACGAGGTGCAGGTGGCGCTCAACGCCGCATGGCCCGGGCCCAGGCACATGAAGCAGCTGGAGTGCTGGTCCGTGCGCTGGAGCCTGACTCGACACGTCGAGCAACGACGACGTCCGACGCCGGAGGGCGAAGGGGAACTCGGACAAGCATCAGAAGACATCTTTCTCTGGAATAAAGTACGTACTGATGTAGATCTCAATCTGCGCCAGAGTGAAAGAGGGGGTGCGGCCTTGTGCAGGGGCCTTTATAGAGGAGGGTGGCTGGTGATTGGAGCAAATTATTTTGATCTCTCTGGCGTGTGACCTGGGGGTCACGAGTGATATCCCATTAGCAAAGTCCTAAGGGACGTAGCACCATGACGTAGAACAAAATACTTATTCATGCCTAAACTTAACCAGCCATTCCCATGAAATAACCCCAACCCAGCCTTAATCCTAACCTTAACTATCTCAATCAGACACCTAAAACTTAACCAGTCACCACTTTAGGACTTTTAGTCTAAAACTAATTCAAAAGTAGGAGTGTTACTTCCGGTTTCGTCCCGATTCCGTATATGATCTAGTGCCGACTGTTACTGTATGGGAATATGGGAAGGCTAGCTCCACTAGCGGCGCTAGCTTGAGAGCTAGTGGCTCAAATTGATAGGGCTGAGGGTCGCTGTCTGCCTCCTCTCTCTCAACCTCCAGTGAGGACGGTGGAGAGAAGTCCTCCACCTTCTAAGTCCGCACAGAAGCTATAGAGCTGGTGTGTGATCACTCTCCATCTTTGTCACAGCCAGTGGGGGCGAGTCCCAGCTCAAAAGTGGCCAAATGACGTGCGCTGACATGCTTGCAATACCACCCAGGGCCGATGGGGGTGGACCCGTAATAAGAATTAGCCAATGCTAACGTATAGCATCTTCTTACCTCTCGAAAACGTCTTTACAGGATGGTCCAAAAGTTGGCTCTTGGCCCAAAGCTCCGTTCCACATGTGTGTCAATGCTGAGGGGGGTGAATTTTTGAAGGCACTCGTTGGATGGAGCTCTCGCCGGCTGACGCATGCGCAGATGCGTTTTTTCACCATTTTCTTGTGGACGGGACCACTCGCGGCCATTTTGGATAGCTCCAGTAGAGCACCATTTTTGGCCCATTAGTTTGAACGGCGGAGACAGGCGTGACTACGTCCGTTAATATTTACAGGCCCATTCAACGTCATGGCTGTGGATGCGATTAGAGTATAGGGGTTAAGGTTGAATTTCAGGATGTCTTTCCCTGTGTTTATATCTCACACGTCTCCTTTCTGACAAACAGACACGACTTGTTTGAAAATCGTGTGGTATATCGTGGTATATCGCAGGGCTTGAAATCTTTAAAGAGTTTTGTGCCTTTGCTGATAAGCACGTCAATTTTTGTGTTTGCCAATATCAACTCGTTGTTCTGGATGGAGTTGTAAACCGCAGAAACAATTCTGGCACTTATTGGTTGACGCATATGGTTTGATCCTTGTGAAGGCAAAGAAGATGGTCATCGCCAGGTTTGTTGAGCCTGTAGCAAATCGGAACAATGCGCGACATGGTTTTTACATAGACCACGCCCACAAAACTCTGTCGATTCTCTTGAGTTTTAGAGCAGTACTCGATGCAAGAGATCTTTTTATGCGACGGATCTGTGTAGTTTATAAGAGTTCTTTCATTGTTCGCGGCCACCAGTGCCATTTTTGTTACCGATTCCCCACAGATCTCAACCTCCATTAGGGTCGGGATGTATTTCATGGACGCGACGATGTCTTGAAACACTTTGATTTTCACCACGGAACAATCTGGGCATGTCTTTTGCAGCAACGATGTCATGTAGGCTCGCTTGTAGCGGTCATGTTTAGTGCGTGAGAAGGAAGCTGGGTTGAAAAGCGCACATGTGTGTAAGTGGTGGCTAACACAAACGAACACATACCCAACAGAATCGCCAAATGTGAAGATGCTTTTCTTGCCGTCGGTCCAGTAGTGCAAGGCTGTTACTTGACCTGCTTGCACATTGTTTGACCTTCCAAAGACCACTCATAGAACTGGACCTCACACTCGTTACTAGCTACCGCCACTTCTTCTGTTTCTTTCAGATAGACCAAACCTTAATTCGTCGCTTGTGTTGGAAGGGGAGTGAATCAGTTTGAACAAAGATCGTTTCGTCTGTATGCTTGTCAAAACGATCCGTCCAAATCTTTTCTTTCGCATCAGAAGTCACTGTTAAATACTCTTCGTCTATGTATTTCCGAGGACCTCTTTTGTTGTTTTCTCCGGCATATCCGCTAGCCTCGCCACGATTTTGACAATTTTGTTATGGTGCCCTCCGTCGACTATTTCAATCGGCAAAGGAAATATGTTGTCAAAGGGCCGGTTCTTGGCGGCAAAGTGTTTCCCCAGTTCAAAGTCCAGCAGCTCATTGAAGTCCACGGTTCCATCGCAGTTGGCGTCTATCTGGATGTGCAAGGCTCTCAGCTCCTCCTCGCTGTGTCCCGAATAGAACCGACCCAAGAATTTATCCATCTCCTTGATTGTATCTGTTTTCTCCTGTTTGGAGCTATAGTGGTCGTCCGGCATCATGGTGTCTCTGTTGTCCATTTTGGATGAAGCTCTGCTGCAAGATGGTCTAAGTTCAAATGAACCAGTCCATTATACATAATATAAACGTGTTGCCATGGATATGCACAGCCACAGTTTGTGTCAGGATATTAGGCACAAACATGCTTACAGTAACACAAATTTTATTCTCTATTTTGATAGTTAGACAAATTCGTTGAACATTATTCCCTTTGTGGGAAGTTAACAGCTGAGCAGAAATAGCTACTTTGTAGAAGGGGACAACAGTTGGACAGAAATGACTCAGAGTCTCTGCTCCTGTCTCTGCTCCAGTCTCTGCTTCATTCTCTGCTTTTGTCTCTGCTTTATATAAATATATAAACATATATCATAACATTAATCAAAAAAAGTTAATATTTGCAACAACAAAAAAAGAAAAAAAATACACTGACATTTATTATTAAAATGATTATTATAAACAATCACAGTAAATTTAAATAAAAAATAGAAATAGAAATATAAAATTCCCCAGTTGTATGCACAGCTAAACAGAATTGTTTCCCATTTTTTTTCTTTGTTTCTATTTTTTTTTGGTTTTTTTTATTTTTTTTTTTTTTTTTTTTTTTTGTAATGTTTTTTCTTTTTGTGATGTTGTTTTTGTTTGTTTGTTTTTGATTTATTGTTTTTTTTTATTTGTGATGTGGTATTTCTTGTTTTTTTTTTTATTGTCTTTTTATTTGTTTGTTATATTATTTGCGGTTGTACTTTCTACATTGGTTTTATTTAGCGTTTGAGGCTTTCCGGCTTATTTTTATTATCTTGCTTTCCATATGTTCTATTTGTCACTTTTTTTTATTAATTTTTACGTTGTAATTTTGTGTCATTGTCTTTGCTAGTATTGTTTTTTATATCTTGATGTTGTGTTGATTTCGTCTTACTTCAGATTTTTTGTTGTGGTATATATTCTGTCTTTTCGAAATTTTTTGTCTTCTTTCTTATTTTTATTATTTTTCGTATTTTTTCTTCTTGTTGTCTTTTGAGTTTTATAGTCTGTGCTTTATTGAGGGTTTTATGCTTCTATCTTTGTTGTGTTCTATTTTTTTTTCTTTACTTTTTTCTTTTTTGGTCGTTCCCTTTTTATTCTTTTGCATATGGTTTTATCGCCTCTCTTTCTTGTTTCTAAGTTTAGTTTGTGCTTCGTTTTACTTTGTTTTTAATTTGTAATTAATCCTTGTTTGTATGTGGTTTTTCCATAATTCATATCTTATTTTATATTTTTTTTATGATTTCTGCCTTTTTTATTTTTTTGTTTTTTATTTTTTGTTTCTGCTAGCGTTCTCTCTTTTTTTGTTGTATTGTATCTTTCGTTATTCATTTCTTTCTTCTTTTTCTTTTTTTTGATCTTTTTGGTGGGTCTTCTGTTTGGCAATTTGTTTTATTGTTTCTTTAGTTTTATTTATTTTCTTAAGTACGTTTGCTGTTTTGTTTTTTTATTTCGCTGTTTTTGCTATATAAGGATTTTTGTTTTCTGGTTATTTCTCTTTTTCGTTCTTGGTTTATATTTATTTATGTAAGTTCTTTGTTTTTAGCATTCAGTGTATTATTTATAAAATGTATGTGTTTTTTCGAATTTTTTTTTGTAGTTCTTTTGTTATTTCGTTCTATGTTACATTGAACTATTTAATGTATCTTTTTTGATTTCCTGGGTGTTTTGTAGCTGTAGTTATCTTTCAAATTTTATTCTACTTGTGCCTTCTTTTTTGTTCTTTATTCGATTTTTTTTTTTAGGTGTGAGTTTTTTTTTAATAGATATTTTGTTATTTAAGGTATTTTTTTATCTTTTTTTTTGCTTGTTTTTTTTTGTGTTTTTGCTTTTATTTTTTATCGTTTTTGTGTTGCTCTTTTTTGTTATTTTTTTATTTTTTTTTTATGTTTTTTTTTGGATTTAGTACGATGCTTTTTTGCCTGTTTGTTTGTTATTTTCCATTTTCTCGATTCTTAACCGAAGATTTGTACATAGCAAGCGAGGGGGGGGGACCGGTACTTGCAGCGCTGTTGTAGTGAAGAGAAATGGGTGTAATACCGCATGTGTCCTTTAGAGGGCACAGACCACATAAAAACAACTTCCCCGTGTCTCCACATGTTTCTTCAACTTTGCACATTTTTCCACCTCCTGCACCGCTCCAGGGTAAGTGTGCGCTTGGGTTCTTCACTCAGAGCAGTATTTTAACATTAAACTAATAATGATTTTGCACAGAAGCTGGAGAAACGTAAACACGTACTTTGAGTCTCAGCCTGTTACCTTTGCTCTAGTTAATAATCTCTCTCTAAACTTTCGCTATATATAACATTGTTTCATAAATGTGAGACTGTATCCTGAAGAAACTTACGTTAGACACTGTTCGGATTTGTTGGCTTCTTTGTCCAGTAGATCTATGACTTTGACTCGTTTTTGTTTCCTTTTATTTTGCCTCTTTTCGCAGTCAGAAAATGCTCGCTCGCAGATTCGTCACAAGCTGTTTATCCGGGCTGGGGAGGAACACCATTGAAGGGAGGCTATTTCGCTCTGCCATAAGGTAACGCTGATGTAATTGTATGAAAAACAGTGACTTTACCTGAATATGTATTTTAGCCCAAAAACCGTCTTTTATTGCCATATTTGTACATATTTATATCCTACAGACTATATTAACTTTTACATGTTGCACACGTCTGTCTCTTTGCACAATCTGATTCTATCCATGCCAAATGTCATTGAAATTTCTCCAGTGTGAGATCAATAAAGTCTGTCGTATCTTATCAATATATGAATAAAAAACAAACATTGATAACAAAACCGCTCAAAATTTTAAAGGGTTAGTAGGATGTATATAGTAGGATTTTCCCAAATTTTAGGAAAGAACCGCCCTATAAACGTTTTGAACAAACTCTCTGGTCTTATTTGATTAACAATTGGGAGGACTTGGTGTTTTGATGATCCACCCGGAAGAAGAAAATCCTATATCTTTTAAGAGTTTTGTGTGTGAATTATTGCTGTTGATCAGAGGGGTCTAAAAAGTGTTCTACAAGTAGCACTACTCAAACAAACTCAAACAAAATGATGCCCTAAAGGCCACATCACTGCTCCAGATGGTGACGTTACTTTTTGTATTGTAATTGTACTGTGCATGCTGTGGACTAAAGTCATCGCTCAAAATTCACTTCCAGCGAGATGGCAGAATGAGGGGGGGCTTCCACCTTGTAGTAAACTATCCTTTTTACGGCTGTGAGTCCTGAAAAGAAAAGCCTTAGTTGATTTGTCTCGTGGTTCAAAACTTTCATTGCGCTATGATTACAGTCTATGGTAATCTAATATTTAAGGATAAGAGATCCTTTATTCATCCCACAGTGGGGAAATGTCAGTGTTGCATCACCAAGTTACAGAACAGTAGGAATGAGGAGCACACAGCACAAGATTAAAGTGCTCCCACACAGTGGTCGCTGTGGCTGTGGGGGTCAGACTCTTGGACCTGGCAGGGGCCTGGGCCTCGGCTTCGCGTCTCCTCTGGGTCCTGTGTCGTCCCCTGTGGCTACAGGCGCCTCTCTGCTCCTGGTGCAGACGGCTCCTCGGATGACTCTTTTTCAGCTGGTTGCATCTGAACCCTGCCAAGTCTCTTCATGGTTTTAGTGTTTTATTGGTATTTGTGAGTGTGCATGAGAGCGTTTGTGGTCTGTTGGGTGGGGTCATGGGCCGGCGGGATTGTTTTTAACCAAACTGTAAAGCACTTTGTGTTGCATCTTTTGTATGAAAAGCGCTTTATAAATAAAATGATTGCTTTTAAAGAACAATAACTATACTAATTAAAATCAAATCAAATTTCTAACTCTTGCATAACAAGTATAAAGTTGTGTGAATTCCAGTGTAGGCAATATGTAGTTGTATGTTTTGTTGTAGAGGACCACACTGTCGCCCATAAGACCTACTTCATAACTCCCATTGCTGTCTGTTGTCGTTGTGTCCTTGAGCAAGATACGACCCGACCTAGAAATGGATTAAGGGGAAGAAAGTGGATGGATGTTATGATATGTGTGACATCATAGGTGTGGTTTTCCTTCCAACAGATGTCAGCACAACCACCCCGAGCACTCTCACTCCATCCCCCCAGCCTCTCGCCTGGAGACCCCCTCAGCCAAGACTCTGATGGACATCGGCACACGGCGTATCTTCACTGAGGACCATGACCTGTTCAGGCAGAGTGCACGCCGCTTCTTCAGCGAGGAGGTAGTCCCTCATCACAGCAAGTACGCACACGTCTTCAGCTTGTGTGAAACAAGTCCATTCACACATTTGACTCCATGTTTTAGTTGTTTCCCCTCGTCATTCACTCATTCATGGTTATTTTTAGAGCGATTTATGCACCAATGATCTTTTCCGACTCTATTAAAGAGTAAGGGTTAGCTTGATTCTGATCTCTATAATGATAGTTCATAACCCTGTGGCTCGTTATGAAGCACATGGTTCATATTACATGCTGAGGTTGTGCTAACTCTGTTTTAGCCTGGCCTCAGTCCGGCTGGTTCCGTAGACTCTGGTCGATTAATTATTTCCTACATGTACGCCTGGGTCTGATCCTAGTGGCTGCGGTTAGCTCAGTTGAATTCAGCAAGCGGGGGAGGTGGGTGCTGTTAGCAATTATTTGTCTTTTATTCGAGCAATAGCTCAAAGAAAAGACAAATAATTGCTTTGTATTGTGCCAGGCAGGTGGATCTCACGCATATCACGGAAAGAGAAAAGGAAAATTGGCATAGAAAGTTCTGTAAGTAACACCTGGGGGTAGCGAGCGGTGACCGTAGTCTGAGGTCTCATGCTTGAACAATGGGGGTGCATGTATACGAAGATAAAAAATAACTTTAAAATGCATAAATCATGCTGAAAGCCGCTTTATGTGTAAATGCCACTCAAGTCAGACCACATGTTTTTATTGAATCATTTGATCTTTTGCTAAGAGCGCTCTGAGTCACTCTTTGATACGGAATAGTGGATTAAATGTGGTTCCCTTGTTTTCATGTTTCTGTTTACTTTTGTGTTTGAGGTGGGAGAAGGACGGCCAGGTGAGCAGGGAGGTGTGGGAGAAGGCCGGGGAACAGGGTCTGCTGGGGCTGCTCATCCCAGAGGAGCACGGAGGTGTCGGAGGAGACGTGTTCTACGCTGACATCATGTGGGAGGAGCAGTGAGTGGAGGAGCATCTACACACAGTACACACAGTACACACAGTACACACAGTACACACAAGGGCTTTATTAATATTGAAATAATTTATATTTGAAAATGTATCAGTATTTTGAGCAATAAATACCTAATATTTCCCTAGGTATAATTTTTTTATTTTGCCCACCAGCGGTAATAGTTTCTTGTTTTTAGAAGAAACGTAAAGATGTGCTTCTTCACTTTTCAATTAAACAAGCATGTAATAACTGGCACAATATTAAAATTACAAATTACATTTTTATCTGAGATTTGTTCTGAAATGTCACAATTTTTCCTTGATTTAAACAATTGATTTATATTTATTTTATTTTTAGCCTATAATTGTTTAACCCTCCAAGGTCTAGTCATTTTGGGGAACCTTCCTCGCCTGGTTTTCTTTTTGTATAATTGCATCAAAAAAATGACACTTTTTTTTTATGAGCAATTATACAGAGTCAAGCAGTATACTTTGTTTTTTTCAGTACAACCTGGGGTTTTAGAATATCTCTATTTTAGAGCTGTCATATCAATTGTATAAAAGATTTGGAGTCATGAAGACAAAGAAAAAATCAAAACGGAAAATCTATTTCACAAAAATGTATTGAAAAACACAATGAAATGCTATAAACAACTGTTTACACTGCATAGAAATGTTATTTATGGTCTTGGGGATAATGGGGAAAACATTTGAATCCGTAACTATTATACTTTTTACAAAATTCCTCTATAAAAGCCAAAAACGCTGTACTCCTGATGCCCTTCCTCAAGCAGTTTGTCTATGAGGCTGTGGTTGCTTCTGTATCACAGCTGTAAAATATGTAAAACAAAAGAAACTAAGACAAAAAAAAAAACATCTAATTTATATATACAAATACATTATATACACATAATATCATTTTACTGTATTTATTGTCTATTCTCAATAATGCGAACTCCTCTGGTTCCTCTGAGCGCTGCTGCCTATGCTGCAACAAGTAAACACAGAGGAGTGAGAGATCCTACTCTCTGACAATCTTTGTCTGAGTCCCCGTGTGTGTAAACGTTACATGCGGCTGTGCCTGGCTCACGGGGCACCGCTTGACCGAAGGCAGTTTCGGAAAGGCTGGAATGTGTACTTCACGGAGATAAAAAAAGTAAGTCGCTAGCGTTCACCGTTCGCGAGTAAATTGACCATTTGTAAAACATGTGCGCCACCATCGTCGGCGATGGCATCGTCTTTTAAGGGTTAAGTTCTCGGCCTTTACCAAATAGTTGAGTTCAATAGGAAGCTTTTCAAGGGTTATTACTATTACGATTACTTCTATACTACTGCTTTGGCTTTGGATACTTTGGACACGCCTGATGTGTGGCCCACAGGATGTACTGTAACTGCACAGGCCCCGGCTTCGGTCTCCACTCGGACATCGTCATGCCGTACATCTCCAAGTACGGCTCTGAGGAGCAGATCCGGCGCTACATCCCTGACATGGCGGCCGGCAGGAAGATCAGCGCCATCGCCATGACTGAGCCGGGCGCGGGCAGGTGTGTGAGATAAATATTAAATGTCTTTCGTGCTCCTTTCTTATTTTAAATACTTTACATGTAAGTGTTGCATTAAGTCCGATCATTTCACTTGATCACATTTAGACAAATATTGCTTCTGAATATTTTTTTAGACAATCATGGAACAGTATGTATCATTTTGAGATATGGGTTCTCCTGCATTTTAAACGGTACATAGAATAGTAAATATCATCTTTGGCCATAGACTATTTAGTGCAGAGTTACATGTTTGTGCCAGGGTTCCCTGATATCCGTGCGTATGGCTCTAAAAAAAAAAACCTATACTTTTTATGATTATTGCACAATACAATTACATGGTTAAAAGCTTAAAAAGGTCAATTTTGCATAATTTGTCTCCTTTAAACTGGACTAGGACATGTCAGTGTGTCTTCCTCCTGTGTGACTATGGCTCTGTTTGGATGTCAGTGATTTACAAGGAGTGCGGACGAACGCCAGGAGAGACGGCAGCGACTGGATCCTGAACGGGAACAAGGTGAGCGAACAAAGCAGTCTGCCTTTCTGAAGATGACATCACCACTTTCTAATGAGTAGAAAATCCTCGATCTACATCAGGGGCGCTCAATACGTCGATCGCGATCTACCAGTCGATCACAAAGGTAGTATTGGTAGATCGCATTACATAAAAAAAATGATCAGTTTATGCATTTGCGTGTAGACGGAGATAACCGGAGTTTTGCGTTTTCGTACGTCACAGTATGCCCCCAAAACAACAACCCATAAAACGTGCGACCTCTGATCACTGAGGAAGCATGGATCTTACTGCCTTAAACTGTTCGCTGCTGCAAGCGGTTCACAGCAGCGAACATCCTCCACATCAGAGAGCAGCAAAGGGATCAGGCACGCTCAAACAACCAAAACAGGAGCTAAATCAGGATCAAACCAGTGCTGAGGACGGGGGCCAGTGCTTGTAAACATGTCTTCACCCTGAATTTTACTAAGACTGTAAAAGTGCAGCTACAGAATTACTGTTGTCTGCATCAAAGCTCCTCCCACTTCTGTGGTTTTTCCCCAACGCATGACGTCAGGACGCACATGTTTGGAATGTCATGAAAAACGCAGATGTTCGGTTATGTGTGGATGCAAATGATTTAATAAATCATGCGGTTTTGCATGTCAACATACGTTGTAGATATACAGAATCCTCAATATATTTAGAAATAAATGTATTGTATTTTTGTAGTAGGAAGATCATTTTGATTGATCATTTTATAAGTAGCTCGCATTAGGGGTGACGATATCGGATTTTTATTTTTGACATATTTTTTTCTCCCGCTAGCGATATGTATTTGCCAAGTATCGATTTTGAAAAGAACATTTTTCTTTTTTAAATTAGTATCAGTACTTAATATATGGCTACATTACAAATCTCCATTCCATTTATCATGAAATAAAGTGTATTTTTTCACTTCACATTTTTCTATTTTATGTATGCCATATATTGGCATATGCTATATTGCTGACCAATATATCGATAATTGTCATATCGTGATATATCGTTATCGTGAGCTTTGTATCGTGAGGTACCCTTAGGTCCCCACCCCCAGCTCGCATGCTGAAAGTGTGAGCACCCCTGATCTACATCATAAACAGACCTGGACTTTGGTGAAGAGACTCCCATCCCTTCACCAAACGCTTATTGTCAAATCTATATGGATGTTGGAACTTTGAGGCTAAACGCTCTGCCCTTGACTGCACTTTTTGAGACTTTAGGAACCATCATCTGCCGTTTTGTGAGCGCAGTGGGAGAGTTTGGTTGGTATGACACTAACATGACTTGGAGGAAGGAGGAGCCACTTTGTATGTTAAAAGGAGGATTTTAAAATGAATCCTGTCCTCCTCAAAGCCAGCCATGTCACTACAGCTGTGTGATGTCGCTTCAACGTTGGAAATGGGGATGTTAACCGGTGGTTGACTGTCACAGCATTAACGGGTCAAAGCTGTCAGTTAAAAGAAAAGGGGGGATAGGGGAGGTCTCTTAACGCTATTTTTAAAGTGATTGTCTGCAGTTTGTCAGAAAGAGACAGAGGTACTTGATTTGAAAGAAACGACGCAAGCTCCCTCCCCCTTCCTTTCTGATTGGTCTACACCAGGGGTGCTCAATACGTCGATCGCGATCTACCAGTCGATCGCAAAGGTAGTATTGGTAGATCGCATTAAATAAATAAAAAATTACAAATTCTAAACTAATATATACAAAAAACTCCGGGCAAAGTGGAGATTTTTGAAAACTCCGTTAATGCATTTGTGTGTAGACAGAGATAACCAGAGTTTTGCGTTCTCGCACGCCACAGTACCCCCCTAAATTCCTCTGATCACTGAAGCATGGATCATACTACCTTAAAAACTGTTCGCTGTGAGATGCTCGCAGCAGCGAACATCCTCGCTCCACATCAGAGAGCAGCAAAGTGATCGCGGGGACTCGCGCTCGAAAACAACCAAACCAGGACTAAACCAGGACTAAACCAGGACTAAACCAGGACTAAACCAGGACTAAACCAGGACTAAACCAGGACTAAACCAGGACTAAACCAGGACTAAACCAGGACTAAACCAGGGCTGAGGACGGGGTCAGTGCTTGTAAACATACGTCTTTACTCTGAGTGTCTTCTATGACTGTAAAAGTGCCGTTACCGGCGGCTGCATCAAAGCTCCGCCCACTTCCGTGTTTTTCCCCAACGCAGGACAGGACGTAAGAGACGCACATGTTTGGAATGTTACGAATGTGATTGATAACGCAGATGTGTGGATGCAAATTATTTTATAAACTGAGGAGGGGAAATATTTGGATTTAAAAAAAACAGGCATGGCACATGGACATGGCACCACAGTCAAATGACATCTGTGTTTTACTCAGTAATGTTTTACTGACACTTAGGTGACTGCACATGCGCAAACAACCGCGCTCAGTGCAGGAAAGCTAAACCACGACAAACTTGTCAGCGAGTTACCACCAATTTTCCGGACTATGCATCCCTGGCCGATTCAATTCAGTGAAAGTCATAAGAGTAAACTCGGGTAATGACAAAAAATGTACATAGGTAATTGTGTTGTGTTGTGCTATATTGGCTCATGCTGTTTTGCATGTACATAAACATACATTGTAGATATAAAGAATATTTTTTGAAATAAATATATGATTTGCATTTTTGTAGTAGGTAGATCATTTTGACTTGATCCTTTTATAAGTAGCTCGCATGCTGAAAAAGTGTGAGCACCCCTGGTCTACACCTACGTTTCCGTAACACTTTGAAATGTTAATCAGAGAACAAATTATACATACACATTATTAATACACATTCCAACTTTAAGCGCTCGTCTGTCACACAGCCCAAAGAATCCTCGCAAATACGCGGCTTCAGTCAAACCACATGAAACATGTTTGTGTTTATGGTCCTTGGCATCAGCTCCACACACATCACTTGTATTTAAACTTTAGCAGAGATCTGCGAGACGCAGCTCGTCACTCGCTGCTCTGACCATGTGGACGAGCAGTCTTTTGCTTAAAAATGCTTTAACCCTCAGCACAGAAGAATGGGAAGATTAAAAAAGCAGTTCTGACCACGAAGGTGATGAAGCTGTTTTCGGGTCCAGTAGAACGCAGAGCTGCACTTATGAGAAGTACGCGGCTTGAAATGGCTGTTATTACAAAGAACGTGGAATATTTTAAACTACGCTGTTAACCGGTTAATGAGGCTCTGTGGTCGGTCATGAAAATTCATGGTATGTAAAATACCATGAATACCATAAAACTTCTTGCTTTCGTCAAACCCGGATATCCCGCCCTAAACCCCCAGACTGGCGCGTGATTGGCTTGAACGCCTAGATGTTCGACTTGAAAAGGGTTGGCGGGAGCGGGGCAAGATGTATTCTCGAGTGTTTGTGAACTCACAAATACCGCGAGAATTCAGCTTGCAGCCAAGGTTATATGTTCTATTTACGCCCGTATCAATTAATTGTGCATGGTTTAAAAAACTTATTATAATTCCCCTATGTATTAAGTATTCTCTAATGAAACTCATCTGAAATCATAATTAGCAGAGAGGACAGAGCCAGAGCGCCACCTGCTGTATTTGGCTCCACCAAACTCTTAAGGTCTTGTTTTCACGTCCTTCACTACAGCTGTCTCTGTAAGTTTGGTTTGTTCTACAGGTGTTCATCACAAACGGCTGGATGGCGGACCTGGTGGTGGTGGTGGCCGTGACTGACCGCGATGCCAAGTCTCCTGCTCACGGGATCAGCCTCTTCCTGGTGGACAATGGCACCAAGGGCTTCCACAAAGGCCGCAAGCTGGAAAAGATCGGTCTAAAGGCCCAGGTACAGCCCCAGAGCTGGGTCTGATTGATCCTCAGCTCTGTCTAATATACCCTTGTTTTTCAAAAGACTTTACTAACAGCACACTAGCATTAGTAAAAATCAAAGAAAACTAACAAAGTTGTCATTTCTTTATTAAGGTGTAGATATAATTGCCTGGGTAATTGGATCAGGTGTCATTCTAATTCTAGCAGATTGGAAACTACTTGCTGTTAAACTGATAAAAATGAAGAAAAAATCTTGAAATAGGAGAGTGAGAGGTGAAGTCATGAACATATCCATCGTTTTATTTTTGTTTGTGAAATCAGCTCAAATCAGTGGGGGAGGTTCCCGGCTCAAAAGTGGCCAAAATGACGTGCACTGACATGCTTGCAATACCCGGGCCGATGGGGGTGGACCCGGAATAATTATTCATTAGCTGACCTCTCAAACATCTTTACAGGATGGTCCAAAAGTCTGCTCTTGGCCCAAAGCTCCGTTCCACATGTGTGTCAATGCTGAGGGGGTGAATTTTTTTGGACCACTCTAGTTTAGTTGCTGTGAATTTTTGAAGTCACTCGTTTAAATGAATAAGGCGCGGGGGGGGGTTTGAGGGAAAAATGGCAAAAGGAAAGGTGCATTGCTTCCCAGTAGGTCATGTGACTAAACTCTGACCGTGTGCTTCTTCCCAGGACACTGCAGAGCTGTTCTTCGAGGATGTGCGTCTCCCGGCTGAGGCGCTGCTGGGAAAACTCAACAAGGGCTTTTTCTACCTCATGAACGAGCTGCCACAGGTGCGGAGGACGCTGACGCCAAACTCTAAAAACACAAGATGCAAATGTTTTTGATGGAGTTTGAAATCAGAAACATTGACATTAAAAACCCTATAGTAGTACCTCATAGGGAGACACGGTGGCGCAGTAAGTAATGTTTATTTATATAGCACATTTTTACAGACCAAGGTCACCCTAAGCGCTTTACAATGTTCAGAGATCAGATATTTTTTATCCACACGATGACAGAAGCAAGACTCAGAACACACTGGCATCAAAGTCCCAATCAACATAATTCATTCATTCACTCACTCTTTACATTCAGACCTATTGTACGTGCTTTTAGTGGTATGGGAAACCGTAGCACCTGGAAGAAACCTACGCGGACACAGGGAGAACATACAAACTCCACTCAGAAAGACCCTGTTCCGACCGGGATTTGAACCCAGGACCTTCTTGTTGAGAAGTGAGATTGCTATCCACTCCGCCACCGTGTCACCACAGTGGTTAACGCTTGTGCCTCACAGCAAAAAGGTCCTGGGTTCGATTTCACCTCTCCACTCCTTTCTGTGCGGAGTTTGATTATTCTTTCCGTGTCTGCATAAGTTTCCTCCGAGGGCTCCGGTTTCCTCCTTCACTAAAAACATGCAATACGTCTGGCATGCACCTTCTGTACGGCGACCTTGCTCCCATCTCTGGAGTGAGAGACAAATGACCGATATACAGATCCGCTATATAAATAAAGATTACATACTTGCTTACCTACAAATTGCAAACTACTACAACAAAAACTTAAATCTTAAATCACCTCCAAAAAAGGCATATTTTTATTTGTATATCAAATGTTTCATAATCTTTTCTAATATAAACTCACTGGCATGACATTCACTTCTAACCCACACAGCCTTCAGTGACCCATATGCTGTGTATGTGAAGGAGCCTCCATCAGGGCCATTCTGATGCAGTGTTGTGGTCGGCAGGAGCGGCTGCTGATCGCTGGGATGGCTTTGGCCAGTGCAGAGTTCATGTTTGAGGAGACCAGGAGCTACGTGATGCAGAGGAAAGCCTTCGGAAAAACCATCGCTCATCTGCAGGTCTCATGTCTGCAACCTTTCACACACGTTCATGTATCGCTGAATTTCTGGGTTCTGAAAGGTACAATGCATGGATGCTGTAGAGGAAGAGGCAGTGATCCATTTCCCTTTTTACATGTGTTGCAATCCAAGCAACAATTTTATTTTTTTTATTTAGCAACTAAAATGCAACAGTTTCTTTTGTAGGACAATGTCTCAATCTCTTTTCCTCAGATTGAAAAGGACTGGTCGAGCACAAATATCTAATTTTATCTAATCCTGTCCAGACAATCACTGATCTCTAATTATTTATAATGAGATCAGATAAGGACTCCGTAGGAAATTACAGTGGGGCCGGCTGCTCTCGTTCAGTCACAGGTACATAATAAATAAGTTGCTAAACTAATAAAACCAGTATAAAAGAATTTCAAAGAGCATCAGTTGTTCCAGGGATCTGCTGTAACCTCCTCCAGCTTTCGGGTCACTGCCCCGAGTGAACCATCACCACAGGCACTACTGTCACCTTTACCCTCCAGGCCCTCTCAGGCTCCTCTGAGCCCTGAGATCAGCCACTTCAGCTATGCTGCGGTGGTACATGCCGTGTAGGGGCTTGTCCTCCCATGATGGGCTCTCCTCCAGCACCTCCTCACCCTCACTTAAGGCCTGTGTACACTTGTGCGGCGCTGGTTGCGGTTGCGTTGGACCTACGCAGCCACAGTTGGTGGTACACTGGCACGTTCCCCTTACGGAGTTTTGAAGAGAATGTTGTAATCTCAGAAAGCGCAGCGTAACTATACACTAGGCTTAAGGCATCAAATGGGAATAACGTCTCCCTGGCCGTCCACCTTTTTATATCTGTGCATGTCCCCTCCCCTTTAGCTCACCTCCAATTTCAGAGCACCAGGTTAGAAGGGAACTGCAAAGGGATGCTGAGAGTCGCAGGTCCTCTCCAGCGACCTTCTGCATCGCACCCTCTCACATTTGGATGATGGACTGTGCACAGTTAGAATTCTCCTTGACTTCTGTGCCTTCAATACTGTTCACTTTTAACATTTTAGCAACTTATTTATTATGTGACTGAAGGAGAGCAGCCGACACCACTGTGATTTCCTTCGGGATCGATAAAGTTGATCTTATCTTCTCAATGTGCTCATGTTCCAGACGGTGCAGCACAAACTGGCCGAGCTGAAGACTGACATCTGTGTTGGCCGAGCGTTTGTGGACAGCTGTGTGCAGCTCCACGCAGAGGGACGTCTGGATGCAGCTACGGCTTCTATGGCCAAGTACTGGTGAGCATAATTAGCTCTGTCTTGTGATGAGCTGGGATGTGATCTCCCATACATTTGTTGTTTGTTAAAGTTGTGTTCAAAAAGTCCATTATTTCTTTTCTGTTTTGGTGCCCTGACGCTCACATTGCCTCCAGGGGCTTAAAGCGCTTTTTTTTTTTTTTTTTGGACACTCAAAGACTCTTCACGTGTCATTATTCATTCACTCCATACACAATGGTGTAGCCACAGCTGCCCTGGGCCACACTGACTGAACAGAGGCAACCAGTCTGTGGCAACTGCTTCCGACCACCACCAGCCATTGGCACACACCAGACTCATTCGAATGTGGGTGAGACATCTGTTAGTCGGTGGAGAAAGCCTTCAGGCTCAAAGGCCAATGCTCTACCAACTGAGCCACTGTTGCCTCTGGTTAACTTTATGGAGTTTGAAGTAGAGGTCTTATCTCAAACTGTAAATATTTACTGTTAGATGGATGGATTCAGTGGAAATGGATAGTACATTCAAAAGGTAATTTTATTTCTATGACCCACATTTGGTGAACCTTTTTATTTTTAACTTGGGTGTTTATTAGGGAAAATAATCCGACTCCTCCATTTGAAACAAAAACAAGGTATTTTTTATATGTATATATTTATATTAATATAATATAAAATAAATACAGCCTTCACCCTCAAACTACCCATAACTTAATTGTGTGTTCAATGAAACCTGTTTGTGTCTGCAGGGCCTCTGACCTCCAGAATAACGTGGCCACTCAGTGTGTCCAGCTCCACGGAGGCTGGGGCTACATGTGGGAATACCCCATCGCTAAGTCAGTGACCGTTCAAACCCTGTTGCACCCAAAACACCCACATCTGTAAAAACGTTTTTTATTCTGTGTCCAGGGCTTTTGTCGACGCCAGAGTGCAGCCCATCTACGGAGGAACCAACGAGATCATGAAAGAACTGATCGCTCGCACCATCGTCACTGCTAAATAATATCTCTCTGTAAATGTATTGTTAATTCATCAACATCATGAGAAAGTTTATTAACGACGTAGATTTTATTTTTGTAATAAAGTTATACTAATCAGGTTGTAGTGTGGTGTTTTAACCAGTAGAGGGCAGCAGCGTCTTAGATCAAATACAACCATGTCCTGGGGATGGGCTTTTGAATGGTTTTCATTCCTTATATTTTTTTTAAATAGTTTTAAGTTGTTTTTTATTTATAGAATAATATAATTGCTTGAACTCACCTTTTTTAGTCTTTTGCATTGGACTAAAGAGAGATGGAGGTTTGCATGTAGGGGACATGTTATTATTTTCTTCGATCACCTAAATCTGTGAAGATGGATTTTTTTGATCCATCTTCACTTCCATTTTTAAAGAAGTTTTTTGATGTGTTCGGTAGAATTAAAAGTCTCCTACAAATGTCTCGCTCTTTCTCTCTCCCTCACTCCTCTCAGCCTCATAGTCTCCTTAGCAACAGCCACACCCCACAGCACAGCACTGTTACTGCAGAGAGCACACGGCCCAGGTCTCAACCGGGTCTGGACCAGGTCTACAGCCTTTATCTGGATCAAAACAACACATTGTCCGACACTTCTCTTTTCAACAATATACAGTGACTGCCTTCTTTATTTGATGCTTGTTTTTAAGATTTATTTCAGCCATATATTTTGTGGCTGTAACTGACAATTATTACTAACTGATCATGGATTAATATTGCAGCAATTTGATCAGCTGGGTGGAATAGAACTTAAGATACTATTTCAGTATTTTCAGATTAAGACCAAGTGAAGCTGGGTGCAACTTCCAAATGGGTTATATTTCAAAAGTGTTTTCCATGGTTGTTACTCCTGTGTTTGCGGTTATAGTGAGAAGTGTAGCACCCGGTTTCATTCATGACATTTTCACAATTTGTGTTTGAAAACAGATCCTGAAATTCCAGCTGTAAATCTGTTTAGTTTGAAAGATCAATAATCAAACATGCTCAATATTGCATCTAATAGCAATATATGGACTGGTTTTATTCTATTTTTTCTCATTTATAATTGAATAATGTTGGCAATTTGGATGTTTTTTTCTTTTAAAATATTTCAATGTAATTTATTTTATTTGAATTAAGATTAAGAGATCCTTTATTCGTCCCACAGTGGGGAAATTTCAGTGTTGCATCACAAGTTATAGAACAGTTAAGTGAATAAAAGCTATACTCCATCCATCCATTTTCTTCCGCTTTATCCGTTGCCGGGTCGCGGGGGCAGCAGTCTAAGCAGAGACGCCCAGACTTCCCTATCCACACACACTTCCTCCAGCTCGTCCGGGGGGACCCCAAGGCGTTCCCAGGCCAGCTGAGAGACATAGTCCCTCCAGCGTGTCCTGGGTCTTCCGCGGGGCCTCCTCCCGGTGGGACGTGCCCGGAACACCTCCCCAGGGAGGCGTCCAGGAGGCATCCGGAACAGATGCCCGAGCCACCTCAACTGGTTCCTCTCGACGTGGAGAAGCAGCGGTTCTACTCCGAGCTCCTCCCGTGTGACTGAGCTCCTCACCCTATCTCTAAGGGAGCGCCCAGCCACTCTGCGGAGGAAGCTCATTTCGACCGCTTGTATCCGCGATCTCGTTCTTTCGGTCATTACCCAAAGCTCATGACCATAGGTGAGGGAGGGAACGAAGATTGACCGGTAAATCGAGAGCTTTGCCTTTCGGCTCAGCTCCCTCTTCACCACAACGGTCCGATACAGCGACCGCATAACTGCGCACGCTGCACCGATCCGCCTGTCAATCTCACGCTCCATTCTTCCCTCACTCGTGAACAAGACCCCGAGATACTTGAACTCCTCCACTTGAGGAAGGACCTCTCCACCCACCTGCAGAGGGCAAGGCACCTTTTTCCGGTCGAGCACCATGGCCTCGGATTTGGAGGTGCTGATTCTCATCCCAGCCGCTTCACACTCGGCTGCAAACCGTCCCAGTGCATGCTGCAGGTCCTGGTTCGTTGGAGCCAACAGGACAACATCGTCCGCAAACAGCAGAGATGAAATCCTGTGGTCTCCGAACCGGACCCCCTCCGACCCCTGGCTGCGCCTAGATATTCTGTCCATAAATACAGTGAACAGAACCGGTGACAAAGGGCAGCCCTGTCGGAGGCCAACATTCACCGGGAACAGGTCTGACTTACTGCCGGCAATGCGAACACAGCTCTGGCTCCGGTCATACAGGGATCGGATGGCCCTCAGCAGAGGACCCCCGACCCCGTACTCCCGGAGAACCCCCCAAAGGACACCCCGGGGAACACAGTCGAACGCCTTCTCCAAATCCACAAAGCACATGTGGACAGGTTGGGCGAACTCCCATGAACCCTCGAGTATCCGATGGAGAGTATAGAGCTGGTCCAGTGTTCCGCGACCGGGACGAAAACCACACTGCTCCTCCTGGATCCGAGATTCGACCATCGGCCGTAACCTCCTCTCCAGTACCTTGGAGTAGACCTTACCGGGGAGGCTGAGGAGTGTGATCCCACGATAATTGGAACACACCCTCCGGTCCCCCTTCTTGTAGAGAGGGACCACCACCCCAGTCTGCCACTCCATTGGCACTGCCCCCGATCGCCACGCGATGTTGCAGAGACGTGTCAGCCAAGACAGTCCTACAACATCCAGAGACTTTAGATAATCAGGGCGGATCTCATCCACACCCGGAGCCTTGCCACCATGGAGGCTACCAACCACCTTGGTGACCTCAGCCAGGGAGATGGATGTACCCGCCCCAACATCCTCAGCCTCTGCCTCTGTAACAGAGGACGTGACGGGGGGATTGAGGAGAACCTCAAAGTATTCCTTCCACCGCCCGACAATATCCCCAGTCGAGGTCAGCAGCTCTCCACCCGCACCGTACATGGCGTTGGCAAAGAACTGCTTCCCCCTCCTGAGGCGCCGGATGGTTTGCCAGAATCTCTTCGAGGCCGACCGATAGTCATGCTCCATGGACTCTCCGAACTCCTCCCAGTCCCGGGTTTTTGCCTCTGCAACAGCCCGGGCCGCGGCACGCTTGGCCTGCCGGTACTGGACAGCTGCCTCAGGAGTCCCCCGAACCATCATGGCTCGATAGGACTCCTTCTTCAGCCTGACAGCATCCCTTACTGCCGGTGTCCACCACCGGGTTCGGGGGTTGCCGCCGGGACCAGCACCAGAGACCTTGCGACCACAGCTACGAGCCGCCGCATCGGCGATTGAGGCAGAGAACATGGTCCACTCGGACTCCATGTCCCCCTCCTCCGCCGGGACCTGGGAGAAACTCTCCCGGAGGTGTGAGTTGAAAGTCCGTCTGACAGGGGGCTCAGCGAGACGTTCCCAGCAGACCCTCACTATACGCTTGGGTCTGCCAGGTCTGACCGGCTTCTTCCCCTGCCAGCGGATCCAACTCACGACCAGATGATGATCGGTTGACAGCTCCGCCCCTCTCTTTACCCGAGTGTCCGAGACACGCGGTCGAAGGTCAGATGATACGACAACAAAGTCGATCATCGACCTCCGGCCTAGGGTGTCCTGGTGCCACGTGCACTGGTGGACACCCTTGTGCTCGAACATGGTGTTCGTGATGGACAAACCGTGACTGGCACAGAAGTCCAACAACTGAGCACCGCTCGGGTTCAGATCAGGGGGGCCGTTCTTCCCGATCACCCCTCTCCAAGTGTCACTGGCGTTTCCCACATGGGCGTTGAAGTCCCCCAGGAGAATAACGGAGTCCCCGGGCGGTGCACCGTCCAGTACCCCTCCCAAGGACTCCAAGAAGGCCGGGTACTCTGCACTGCTGTTAGGCCCGTAGGCCGTCACAACAATGAGAGACTTGTCCCCCACCCGGAGGCGGAGGGACGCGACCCTCTCATTCACCGGGGAGAACTCCAACACGTGGCGGCTGAGATGGGGGGCAATGAGAATGGCCACCCCAGCTCGCCGCCTCTCCCCGCGGGAAACTCCAGAAAAGTGGAGCGTCCAACCCCTCTCAAGGAGTTGGGTTCCAGAGCCCAAGCTGTGTGTGGAGGTGAGGCCGACTATCTCTAGTCGGTATCGCTCAACCTCCCCCACGAGCTCGGGCTCCTTCCCCCCCAGTGAGGTGACGTTCCACGTCCCAAGAGCCAGATGTTGTGTGTGCGGACTGGGTCGCTGAGGTCTCCGCCTTCGACTGCCGCCCAGTCCTCTCTGCACCGCTTCACCACGGACCCCTCTGCAGGTGGTGGGCCCACAGGAGGGACTGCCCACGTCATCCCTTCGGGCTGAGCCCGGCCGGGCCCCGTGGGCTAAGGCCCGGCCACCAGGCGCTCGCATACGGGCCCCGACCCCAGGCCTGGCTCCAGGGTGGGGCCCCGGCTGCGCCATGCCGGGCGACGTCACTGTTTTCGTGTTAGTGCTGTCCATGGCTATACTAATGGGAAATAAAACAAAATTTTTAACTCTAGTAACAAAAGACAAGTATACGTTTCTGTCTATTTTAACTCGTAGTTATTGATAAATTCATTGTGTGTACGTATTTTTCATAGTAAAATATTTTCTCGTATTTTATTTAACACATTTCTTTCTGGATATTTGATTGCAATTCATCTCATTGCGTTTTCCGGAATCCCCGTGCGCCTTTACATCAGCTTTTACGGTACTGTAGAGGCGGGCTCTTTCTCCCCATCCCCGTTGAGCCGTCGGCCTCTCCTGTCTCCAGTTCGCTCCTTCACACCCTCACACACACGTACACGCACACACATACACGCACGCGTAACCGGACTATCCCTTCTGCTCCGGCTGGACCTCACCACCAGGTAAGGTCTGCTCTCACACACAACCCCGTTCCAAAATCACTCACGTCTCATCCGTTGTCTTTACGCGTGTGGAACTTTATCAATGGAGTCTCATTACCTGCTAATGCCACAGACCTGTCAGTGCCGCTATTTTTGACGCTATGTCGATTCTTTGTTGCTTGTAAATACGTTAAATATGATGTTGAAAACG